GTGCAAACATTCGTGGCTCAGTCATGTTGATYTTCTCATCCACCAAAATCCTTCTTGGGGCTGCTCCCAATCCATTCTCCCTCCAGCCTGGATTTGTGCTTGGGGTTGCTCTGACCCAGTACAGGATCTGAGCTTCTTCCTTTGTAATTCCTCAATCTTTCCACAGTTTATAGTCAATGCTGATATTCCTTCCGTGTCCAAGAAGAGCAGCGTAAAAGTGGGAATTTGTTCTTCCCAAGTGGGAATGAATGTAGGGTAGGGAAAAGCCACTTATTCCTTTATATTCTTTCCAATGGAGAGTCTGGACTCAATTCCAGAAGGAATTTGAGGATCTCTGCWCCCCAAAATGCTGGTTTTTTTCCAGTGGTAATAAGAGATTCAGCCACATCTCTTCTCTTTTTTGGACCTTGAGCACAACATCCTCCAAAGGCATCACCCTTCCATCCCTCCTCTGCCAGCTTCCCAGAATCATTCTCTGAGAGGGATTTTGCAGAATGCAGATGGAACAATTCTTGAGGATCTAGACTGTCCATTTCTGCTCTTCAAAGTCAGGCTAATTCCCTTCCCTCTTCTTGCTCTGTCATTGTAAAACATCAATGTAATTCCGGTTATTTTGGTGAGTCAGTTGTTTACCACAACACAAGGGCTAAATCCTCTCCTAATCCCCTTGTTCCTCGCAGATTTCATTTGGTTTTTCATCAGTCTGTGTCAAGTTTTGTCTGCTTTGGCAAAGAAACAAAAAATACTGTGGGAGAAAGGTCACAGCATCTGGCTGAGCCTGGCTGCTTTCTGCTGGAGCAGAGTTAAAATTGGAATTGGKGATGGCTCAGGCTTTCTCAGAACGTTTTTAGGAGAGTATAAAAAATTCATTCGGGCAGTTCAAGTAGGAGACAGGTTAGAGCTGTGCTTGCTGTGGAAAAAACAAGCCCAAAACAACCCCTCTGGGTGTTTTCCATGAYTTTGGATTTCACAGCAAGAGCAGGGACAATTAAATAACCATTTCTCTGGTTACAGGGCTATCGCTGCTGTCAGCTCTCCAAATCCCACATTCGAGGAGATCTCAGCAGCGAATTTTGGTGAAATCCAAATTACTGCAAGCCCTGAGCCTGACATGATTTGGATTTGCATCACAATGTGCCCRTTGTTTAATCCTGACAGTCAGGCTGTGTGTCATGAGGTCAGGCTCAGAGCTCCATCAGTTCCAAATCTGGAAAACACAATCAGTGCCCAGRAAAAAAARAAMMAAMAAAACAAACAACACCCAACCACTGGAGCTCTTAGTGGCTTTTGAAAGAGCTGGATTCTGTTCTGTGCCAGAAATTGCTCATTCAGAGGCTCTTTGAGCTGAGTTTCCAGCTCTGAGATATTTCTGAAAGGGAGGAAATGTGATGGAGCTTTCTAGTGAGGAAGCCTTGAAATGCTCTGTGTTAGAGCAGGGCAGCTCTCAGAGGAGAGAGGGCTGAAATTTTGCTTTTTTGGGGGATGAAAGTACCTGGAACAGCCACCTGATGGTCACACCCACCTCTAGCACTCCAGGGTCCATCATCCTGGTCCCTTTCAGGGAATATTTTGGAAACTTCCCACCCCAAAACGAGGGTGGGAAGGGAATGATGTGAAATATCTCTCCAAAACTGCTCCTTGTCCTGCTCAGATTAATCCACAATTGCTCAAGGTAAGGAACAACAGCAATTTAGACATGATTGAGCTCCAGATTTTAGCCTGTTGTAAATCCCCTTTCTCTCTCTTTCTCTCTCTCTATTTCAAGAAGTTTTTTCTCTCCCTTTTCCTCTCCTAAACCTGATGTTATTCCTTTTTTTGCTGCAGCCATTCACAGTCTGAAGCTGAGCCGTAACCACGTGGACTGGCACAGCGTGGATGAGGTGTATCTGTACAGTGATGCCACCACGTCCAAAATTGCAAGGACTGTCACGCAAAAGTTGGGTTTTTCCAAAGGTAATCTTGCCCAGTTTGTACAGAATATTGGGAATTTTGCCCAGAATATTGGGAATTTTGCCCAGAATATTGGAAATTTTGCCCAGAATATTGGAAATGCCTGCATTTAAAGCTTGCTGCTTGAACTCCAGAAGGAAATTTTGAGTTTCAATGCAAGTAGCTCACTTTGACCACTGTATTTTTTTATTTTATATGAGTATTCAGAGTCCTTAGGTTGTGTGTATAATTGTAACTAGATGTGATTTTTTATTTTTARTATTTATTTTATTTAGATTTATATCTGATTTTAKTACRTTTTTATTCCATATTTTGGTGGGTTTGGACACAGTTAACACTACATGACAAATATATGAAAATATTATAGTGGCAGAGTCCAGAAACTACTGCAAAATTAGAATTTTTAGTGTGATAATGTAAATATTACAGTTCCTTTTGCAACCTTAACTTTACTGCAGGGTACCTGCATACTCTGATGCATTTTTTAAATACATGACCATACCTTTCCTTTCCCCACCTCCACCCAGCCTTTTTCTCTGTTCATGAAACAGAAGTTTGAACTGACAGGAAAGGGCATTTAGACCGAAATTATTTCCAGTAGGAATTCAGGCTCATTTAAGCTCAAAACTCCCAGTCAGAAAGGCAGCAAGGCTGAGATGGTTGGAAGAGAATGTGGTGTTTCTCAGGGAAAAATCAGATTATTGCCAGCCTGGAAAATGAGAACTCTGTGAAAATGGGTACTCCTGTGCAAAACACCAAAACAAGAACCTACAGATCTGGTTTGTTCCCCAAAAAGGAACAAACTCTCTCTCCATCCCTCTGCCCTGTAATTAATGCCCTCTTAACCCCTCAGGGCTCCTGGGTGGATACTTAATTAAYGTTTCCCAAAACAATAATATCATTTAGCACTTCAATTCCAAAAGAAGAATTTCAATTCCAAAATTACTTCATCCACAACACCATTGGGATAATGTGTCATAAATAATAAGATTTGTCCTAAACAATTTGTGGGGGAGAAATAGCAAATAGAAGTTGACTTGGTAAACAAAACCTGTCTTGGGTAAAAAATGTTTTTAGTGGGTTTGAGGTGTTTTTTCCTGCTCTTTAAAACCCAAATCAGTTGTTGGTTGCAGTTTTTGAGGGCAGCCTGGCGTGGTCCCTGTGTGTCACTAGAGGGGGATGGAGGCACATTGTGCCCATGGGTGTGTCTGTCCATCAGCCCAGCAGGGAGAAATTCCCACATTTACCCAGGAAAATTGATTTTTGGCTTGGCCACCGAGCTGGAGGTTGGACCAGCTCAAAATAAAGCAGGTTTTCYCCATCAAAATGATAAATTGTGGTGGTTTTCAACCTCTCCTAACTGGGGTGGATAAAGTGACAATTATTTTGGTGGCCGGGTCATTTCCATGATCTGGCCAGGCTGTGGGAGTGGAGAGAAAAGGAGGTGGAGATAGAAAGGAATTCAATGATTGAGACACCCAGGAGAAGGGTATGGTGTTGTAAAGTGGGTGCACAGTTACACAACTGATTTCTGAAGAGTTGTTTTCCAAAACAAAGCCTAAATTAGCTCTGTTTGCAGTGGAGATGGGTATTGATATCACCCAGGTGCCTAAACCTTTCAGGAGTTTTAAAGTGCATTTATTAAAAATCAGGTGCTAACCTTTTAATTTTGTGATTATACTTGATAGAATCTGATTTTCAACGTGCTGCTCTGAGAAAAAACAAGCTTCTGGCAGCAGATGAGACCACTGCACATGGCAGAATGTCACTGATGTGGGATAATCACAATATATCATAATTAAAGATCATAACAGTGATGTTTTCTCTGCAGCTTCCAGCAGTGGCACAAGGCTACACAGAGGTTATGTGGAAGAAGCCACGTTAGAAGACAAACCACCCCAGACCAGTCACATCGTGTTTGTGGTGCATGGGATTGGGCAGAAAATGGACCAAGGGAGAATCATCAAAAACACGGCCATGTGAGTGCTTTGGAATGCTGGGAGCAGCCTCAAATTAAGGCAGATTTTATTAAGTGACAGCAGAGCCTTGGGTTTGGGCTGAATCTTTCCCTGTTCCTTCTCCTAAATCATTAATCTTCGTGCACTGATGTTATGTTAATTGGGATGTGTGGATTTAGGGAGAGCAGCTGGGAGCCTGAAAAGCAAAGATTTATTCTGATTTTATCACCACTTTTGGAGCACACATCACTTCAAGCTGCACCAGGGGAGGCTCAGGTTGGACATCAACAGGAATTTATTCACGGAAAAAGGAGAAATTCCAGGCTTTGGAAGGAGATGCCCAGGGAGGTTTGGAGTGCCCATCCCTGGAGGTGTCCAGAGAAGGACAGGAGGTGGCACTCAGGGCTCTGGGA